GTAAACGGAGAAAGTCCGACCTCGATAATTTCTTACCTGTGAAGATATAGGATCAAGTTTTTCCCGTTTCACTTTCGTGTAATCGTAGACTGGAATGATTCTATGGTGATAATTGTTACTGGAGAGTGGGTTTTTTTTGCCTTGTATCTTCTCTTCTGAATATTCAGCTGAAATTTCCACGCGATCGACCGCCAGATGACATTCCAGTCTACGATTACACGAAAGTGAAACGGGAAAAACTTGATCCTATATCTTCACAGGTAAGACGTCCCCAGGTGCAATTTTGCTCTGTGTGTCCTTTTCTGCTTTATTTGCGACCTCCTGCTCATTTTCTTTCTAGAATGAAACGGAGTCGCAGATATCTAATGAATCATCATCGAATCACGCATCTGTAGACGAATGGGAAGATGTGCTAAAAAGCGTCATTGCCGACCAATCAATTCCTGACGGGTACAAAATGGCGTTCCGGTTAGCTTCCCTTTTTCAGTTACAGTTTCTTTACAGTCAGTAGAGTATTTGACATGAGCGAGTGGTTTTGTAATAGATCCTTTATTAGTTTGATATAAGTTCTGAGATCTGGGGCTCAGGTGGGCAGTAGTATCTCAGTACTGAATTAACTCACTGCACCTAGTTGACTCAACGTCGATCTCTTGCAACAAAGCCAAGGCATCATGGCAGCCGACGTCCTTTACTGTTTATATGACGGCCAAAGAAATAAAGTGCTCTGTTAAGTCAACTAGCTAGGAGCTAATCATAGCCTCCCCCTGGGTGCAATTCAGGACATCCGAATGCTGCCTCGCTTGGATGTTCCGAACCACAATCGAGGTAGGCTGTGATGAGCTTAATCAAGATTTCATCTCAGAAATAACACATAGGGAGATCGGTACCCCTTCACTCTGCACAGAATTTGTCCATTGTACAAGACATGGTTCAGGCGCACTCACTTCCGTAGACCCGATCCTTGGCCATGGGCGAGGTGAATGGGTCCACAACTGCAGCAGTGGGCCACATTCTCCGCTTGATAATGCACGGGAAGGGGTTGTGGAGAGTAGTATTACCGGAGGTCGTTTGGGTACTGTACAATACACTAATACGCCCGCGCTGCCACTTTGCTAGACACGGTTGACCATAGCCAAACTCGCTGCGTGTCTGCGTTTTCTTACTTCTGCTTTTCGCTACGCTGAGTGCGGGTTTCGCTGCGAGATCATGTCACCAACCCAGATTATGGACCTTGAGGATTAGGTAGGAGCTTCTGATGGGATCCGGGCATCATTACCTTCAGCCTCATTTCCGCGCGCTCACAACTGCCCAATGTGCCAAGAGTTGTGCAAGTGTCAACGAGTTCTTCTCGCACATGGCAAGAATCGTCCACGGGAGTGTGTACACACTTCCTCTTCAGAAGGCAGGTGAGTGGATCACCTTCTGTGTGGGGAAGATTGCATCCGTGCTTCAGTAATCCTGTTTTCCAACTACTGAATCCCTCGTCCAACTCGAGTGGCAGCGGATTATTCCGGTGCAGGTCCGTTACTTGGTAAAAATCAGGAAAGTTGGACTGGGTACCCGTGCGGCATCACCAGACTTTTTCTAATGCGTATATTTCCCTTTGTTTAGATGCCTTGTGATGAGCAATCGTGATCTACGGGAACACAACAGAATTCTACGTGCACAGCTGGAGAAGGGCTGAGATTGGCACTCTTCAATATAGTTTATGCATTTCCCTGTTGATTAAAGACTGGTTCTGTTTGAACAACTAATTAGGTAAGCACTGAGTTGCTAATGTTCTACTATGTGTTCTAAATTTGTTATTGTTGTCATTGCGGGACGTTGTTTATGTTGTTGTGGATATTGTACCATTTTTTTGATTGTTTTACCTCACAACAACGGAGTAAAACTTTCCAGTCACACCTCGTTCTAGTTATTTTGGTATCATAAACCAGCACCCTAAATATGCTTTCCGCTTCATTGCACGTACGTAAGTATTTTGTTCTTTTGGGCAGTACTATTTTTTCTCCGGACGTAAGAGATGGCCTTTTTTTTTCCACCCTACATTGATTAACCTCGTTCGGTGGCAGGTGGAGGGGGGGGAGGAGGTGGTGGGATATTCAGAGGAAATCCCTGTGCAGCACCAGAATCTACGGAGTGGAGTTGAGGATGCAGCTCCGTGGATATTGAACCAATCTGTCTTACCTGTAAGGAGATGACGAGTCTCCTTACAGGTAAGGCCATCATATAATACGTTAATGGGGAAAGGACCTGGGGCAGTTCGGCGAGAGGGGAGGGTGGCATTTTGCACTTTTGCTGCTTCCCATCGACGTGTCGAGCCCTCTACGAACCCAGTGCGGACATCACATCTGTATCACGAAGACCCCTGCTCTGCGCAGGAAATCCTTGAAGTACCCCCTCACCGCGCGTGAATGTCTCCCCGTTGATTCAATAATTCGTCTGTTTGATTAGCCTACTATCTCTCGGTTGCCTATCATATCAAGGAGCAGTTCCCCACATATGAGTTGCGGCAAAAAGGTATTGGAAGTGGTGGCGCATGCTTGACATGCGCGTCGGGGCCTAACTGGTGTAAAGTGGAAATGTGGCGGTGGCTCAAGTCACCAGCTAGAAAATGCTCCGCTACTTCGCGCAAGGTGCCGCGACTTGGGTGTGCTGAACTACCCTGTCCGTAAAAGGATCATTGCTTGAGTCAATTCCGAGGCATCATTTACCATCATGCATTCGAATTGAATATGTGATCTCTTCCACTTCCATAGTGGCCAACCTTCTTATTGTAGTAAGGCAGCGTCGAGACCTCGCGGCGACGCGCTACAATTGCAGTAGCACTTCAATGCTGTAGCCGCAGCGGGGTATCGCTTATGTTTTGAGAAAGTACAGGGTAAAGTAGACGCTGTCTAATTACACGGTCTGCTGTCGATGGGTACCGCCCGCTATTATATTGACAGAGTCTAGAAATAGGAGAAGGGGTGCTAAACTGTAAGGAAGAGCGCCTACCCTCCTTTTGTCCTGTACTCTCTCAAAACATCAGCGGTCAGCGCCGATCGGTTCCCGTCTGCGGCTGCGTTGTCTTTTGTAGCACTGGAGCGCCATTGCAGTGGTAGCACGTGTACGCGTCATCGCGAAGCCTTAACTCTGCCTAAGACAGCTTTTATAAAACAGATCGCTCTTTTATAAAATGAGTTAGCAATAAGCACATGGTCTGGTGCTTCGCTAGCTGCTAACCTAGTTGTGCGGACCACACGGCAGCGTTTTTCCCAGTAACCAACGCTTAGGCTCGAAGCCCAGACGACCAGAGTGTCGCGGGCCACTTAGTTTCCTAGATTTTTCATGCGCTTTCTCGTTTCATGCTCACTCGTCAGGCGTTATAAGTCGCGCGGCCGGTTACAAGAAATCTGTCAACCGGATGTTCTCTCGCTGAACATTTTGAGAGAGGAGAATAAGGAAGAGGGAGGAGAGAAGGTAGAAAGGGAAAGAGGAAGGAGAAAGGAGAAGGCACGTTTTGCGGTTGACAGATACCCTGTGACCGGCTCAGCCACCTCCGAGTGAGCTAGACATGAAAAAAACTCCTTCCCAGGCTCGCCACATCTTCTTTCTTCTTGCCATGCTATGGCAGCTGTTGTCCTCTATATGTCGGGTACTTTACAAGAGAATCGTAATTCGCCGCCTGGGTGGGGTCGCGCCGGCAAATGACGATAGCTCAGGTACAGGATGGCGACAAACAGCAATTCAGAACAGAAATCAATCATGA